GAGAGACAGAGAGACAGAGACAGAGAGAGAGAGAGAGAGAGAGAGAGAGAGGTTCATTCAGCCCCACTAGGCAGTGCAGAGGAAGGACTTCAAAGTTGTACTCGCAGGCCGCTATATCACTCCAGCCGTTGATGGAAAAAATAAATATATGCTGACAAGCTTTTAGGGTGACCTTCATGGAATCATCCCCCTTGTCTCATCCCCGTGATGAACGTACTTCTCGTCCATGCTCCCCTCCCCATTGTTTGTCCTTCCACTACTAACGCACACAAAAAGAATAAAAGGGCAAGGCAGCGTGACCTATCCTCTTTGACCTTTTTTGTGTGAGTTCTGCCTCGTGCATTCTCTACGTTGCCCTTCTTCTCACGACCTCTTCTCTCCTCCCCCACTGTAGTCGTACCGACCCTCCTGTCCCTCGTTCTCCATTCTTCTCTCCTTCTGACACCTGCATCCCTCCTTCCTGTTGCCATCCTTCCCCCCCCCCTCTTGGCTTAGGTTCTCCATGCTTAGAAGTGAAGGCCAACATCCCTGCTTCTACATCCTCGTCAAAACGAGGCTGCCAGAATATGAAAACAGCAAGAAGGACAGAGGTATCAGCTGGGAGACACAGACTATGCCTTCCCCGCCTCTCCCCTCCACCTTCCTCCCCCCGCCCTCCCTCCATGCTGTGCAAGAAAACAGCTTAACGGAATTTTCTGTGTTTCCGTTACCAGGAGATTGACCCTTACAACAGCTTAACGGAATTTTCTGCCAGAAATATATACAAGGCAGAAAATTGAAATTGAAAATGCACCTTCATCTGCCGTCCTTATCTCCCGACAGGTGGCTGTGGTGTGATTGTGCAAGGAGAACAGCGAGGAAGAGAGAACAGAAGAGAACGTGCAACAATGTGCCAAAAATTGTGTCCCTGTACTCCTCCAGTTAGCATCATCACATCCCTCACAGATGACACACACTCACTGCGAGGAGGCAGTCTCTCTCTGCACTGAAATTCAGGACAGACCCGTATTACTGCCTGACTGCTGACTCAGACTCTCTCTCTCTCATGGCAATGAGAGACTGTCTCTGCATTGAAATTCTGCACACACCAGTATTATTGCGTGGATAGACTTCTCATTCAGACTCTCTCTCTCTCTCTCTCTCTCTCTCTCTCATTCAAGCGTGTCTGATACCACGGTCACTAATACGATGGGAAAGGGCAACGTTCACAACCTCACCAGGAGGGCAGACATTGTAATCTGCCCGAGATGCATTTGACGGACTCTTTTGGCAAAACCACTTCTCACAAAGATATCATCCACTCTACTCAAACCCACCCCACCCTGCCTAACCCAGGACTCTGAGGAGGCCAGATGTGGTCAATCTGTCCGTGATGGGTTCACATATATGTCCATTAACGCACAAATCTCAATTTGTTTGCTTGTTTGTTTGTGTGTGTGTGTGTGTGCATGTCTGCCCGTGTGCACATGTGCGTGTGTGTGTGCTTGTGTGTGTGTGTGTGTGTGTGTGTGTGTGTGTGTGCGTGTGTGTGTGTGTGTGTGTGTGTGTGTGTGTTGCCATTGTGTCGAAGCCTCCAACCACACTTTCATACACCCTGAGGGTTGCAAATGGAGGCAATCAGTTTGGTCAAGTCTGCTACATAATCTGAACGTGCAATCTGGAAAGAGCAAGCCCTGTATGTGCCTACATCTTCCGCCTCGAGTAGATTTCCTTCTTTCAGCTTTCTGCAGCTGACACTCCTTAGGACGCATAGCGTGAAAGCCTTCTGGACAGATCGTAAATTCGCAAACGAAAGTAAACGAATCTAAAGACAAGCCGTACACAGAAAAAAACGTATTAAAATAAATAGATAGACAATACAAAAACGGAAGGGGACGCGCACTGTCCCAATATCGCTGATCCCACTGGCAAGATGCCGTGGATACGGAAAATTATATTCAGACTTCCCAATCCTCCTCCTTCCTGCCTGCCCCGAACTCCCACGACCCTCTTCTGTTCCCTTTGAAAAGTATGGACCTCGATGACAACAGATATGGCTAGTGAAATCAGAAAAAAATATATCTCATGAGCTCTCATCTCACTCTTTCTTTTTTTTTTTTTCCTCTCCTCTAACGCGTGTTCAACAAAAACACAGAAAATTACGTTAAGCAATAAGAAAAAAAAAAAAATGGTTTTAAATGTAAAAAACGACAATAGTTGATGATGAAGAAGTGACCTTACCTGCCTCTAAACATTTCCCCAAATCTCAGGAGGGTGCAACAACCAAAATCGGGCATCGAAGAGAGTGGTATGTTTCTCCAACATAGACACAGAGAGTTTGGCGATGGGTCATCTCTCTTCCATTGACGAACGCCGCCCTTTTTCACCGGAGTTACGGAGCATCTGATGTCATTTCCACGAAGACAACCACAAATCCGATCCCTCTAGCTCCACCGCAATGCCAGTGTGCTCTCCTGCTAATGTTAACCAGCATCAAGCGCAGTCCCGTCCAACGAAACGGTGGAAAACCCCCTCGGCAGTTCTTCAAAGCCCAACCACATCCATCGGCAGAACTTCCTGCCCGGCGATGGAAACTCCCGCCCACTCATTTTCCACCGGACATTCCAGTTCAGCAAGTGATGGAATGAGAGAGTAGCTAATTGCCCTCCCTCCCATTCACCCTCTCTGCTCAGACACCAGAACGACAGACATCGCACTTTCATCGGCCGTGGCCACAGACAGCGAACAAAAGAGCTCCAAACTG